TATACAGTTGAAATAAATCCGGATAAAAATAATTTTATAGTTGAAATAAGTTATAGATCAAAATATATTCCATCTGATCAATTAAAAAAGAAAATTATGATTGAAATTACAAATAATGAAATAATTCAAAGTTTTCTGCCTGGGTTTGAAAAAATGGTATATTTTGATTAATTAAATTTTCATTCCACAACAAGCAAAGTAAAAGCAATAAAACGAAAATCGGCTTCTATAACTATTCTAATTTGAGTAAATCAAAGTAGTCCGAATAGTAAATCTATTGAAAATATTAATCGTTATGAAACACCAATATTATACAATAAGGTTGTCGATAGTTGTAAATCTTCGGATGTTATCTTGGGATATTTTATGTTTGAGTGTAATTGGGGGAATTATAGAGATCAAGTGTTTTAATAGTTAAAATCTGGTGATTTGGGAAGAGGCAACCTTATTGTAAAATAGTGAAAATAATTTCAGCTTATACAAAACATAATGTGTCAATGTTTTTAAAACCTAAAAATCCGGTCCCAAAAGTTAACATATCTATTCACAATTGATCATAAATTTAAGATACTCCGTAAGAATAATTTTATTGAAATGAATGATAATCGTTTTGAAACATCAATATTAGATAATAATTTAAAAAATAACACTAAAACTAGCTTAGTTGAAAAAAATATTGAATCTTATAAAGGCAAACATTTATCAAGTTATTGGACGGAAATTAATTTAATTGGATATAAAATTGAATTGTTAGAACAACAAAAAGTTGAATATCCGAAGGAAGAATTAAAAAACAGAATTATTGAGATTGGCAATAAAATAAGTAAATGGATTTTTTCATTTTTTATTTGCTTATATGCCTAAAAATATACATATTCTTTACTATTATAGCAGAAATAATTGAAGTAAATAAACGAAACTGTTTTAATTGTAAAATTACAATTAACAAAAATTGGTATAGATACCTAAAAGAACATTATTTGTGCGATCCATGTCGTTGGTATAAAATAAATAATGTCAAAATGTGACCTGAAGGAAATTTTTATCAAACAAACATGGTTTAAATTTATTCATATTATAATTAACAATGCCTTTATAAAACTACTATATGAGTATTTTTAATTGTTTCAAGTATATTTAAATGACATTATTAGGGATCTTATTTCTGTATATGGATTTCAATATTTTCCTAAATATCTACATGGAAATAACTTTTGCCAATTGTAAGAAATGGAAACTAAGGCGAAAATGAAAAAAGTTAGTTAAGAGCAACCCTGGACAAAATCAGTTCGGCGAAATTCAGAAAATAGCTTTAAAAAATATATGAGAGCTAGTTTCTACTCTGATTTTTATAAATATTTAGCGAATCACAGATGATCGAAAATGTTTTACTTGCGGAGCAACAAAAACATCACAATGGTACCGTCATTCAATACCTGAACAATATATATGCAAAAGTTGTTACAATAAACAACAAAGAATGAAAAAGAAAACAAACAAAAATCAAACAAAGAAGGAAACGAATAAATAGTATTTAAATGGACATGATTTTCTAACTTTAATTTTCTGAGTTTATTAAACAAATTCTAAAACTTTAAGATACAACCTATATAATTTCAGTGAAAAAATTCTTTACTTGTTACCAAGATAAATATTAAATTCATAGATTTATTTTTATTATTTTATTTATTTTATGAATGATAACATATATAAAGAAAGAGAATTGTCGTTCTTAACTAATTTTCGTAACCTCACATAAAATGCGATTATTGCTTTTTTTGCTGCTAAATCGTATGGATTATATCTATTATGGTAACCATCTATAATCAATTATGAGTTATGATGCCAAATTTAAGTATTGTCTTATGGGTAAATAAAATGATATTCAATGATAAGAAAAGGCACTTTGTCCAATCTTATTTAATGAAGATGATTTCAATCGTCTCAGCTCGCTGAGCTGAGATATTGGAGAAGCAATAAATGTAATGATAAACTACCTATTTTATTTTGTTAAGCACATAATTCTGGTTCAAATGAGTTTAAATAAGTGCTGTTCAAAAGTCTAAGAGCAGTCGAAAGAATTGTATAGTAAGATTGAGTTATCCAAATATTACCAAATTCAAACCCCCTATATTTTTTATCATTTCAAGCGCTATATCTTTTCTGGCTCTTTTGAATGAGCTTTTTACGATGAATTAATTTTCAATGTAAAAATTGAAAAAATAGCGATACTCAGTTGGTAAATTTGGAAAAGCAATAAATGTATTGAGAAACTATTTTTTGTTAAACATATACTTCTGGGTTATTACTAAGTATTAAATACAGTGCTATTCAAAAGTCTAAGATCATTCGAAAGAATTGCATAATAAGATTGAGTTATCCAAATATTACTTAAGTTTGCATTAAAATTACAAAACCAATTATTCAAATGAGATCAGAAAAATTCTTCGAATTAGCAAAAATTTCCATAGCTTTACTGTTAAAAAGTAAAAGCGCACTTTCGATTTTATGGTTCTAATAGAAAGAAAAACTTGCAAAATTTTGACTAAACATATTTATCGATTAAATGATAAAATAAAAAGAACAGGCCTCGAACTAGCCTCGAACTCGACACTTTATCTTTGTATTTTTATCTCTGAATATTTTGCTTTTTCCAATAATTCTGATTTTCTTCTAGTTGTTTGAATCATGCTTTTAGATACTTATTTGCACTCTTCTTTATTCTATATTGTCTTATATAACAAGTATGGCATAAATAGATTCCAGGCTGTTTCTGTCTGTACCATCTTTTTGATTGTATTGCACAACATGTATTGCAATGACGATCATTCTTAAATGAAATATAAAATTATTTTATTTAAGGTAAACTCCTCAAAATTTTCACTAATTCTCATATTTTTAGCTATTCAAATGAAAGTAATTTACGTAGTCCTGCTGAAATTATACGGATCGTATAACCGAATATAGTCCCTGATATCTACGATATCTTCACAGAAATAATCAGTGAAATCTTTGGTTCAGGTTGTAATCAAAAATGTTATCATGATATTTATCCGTAGTAAAATCAAGTGAATGCGATCTTACTGATATCAAATAATAGCCAACCTTTTTAGTCTTAATAAACAAGCTTTTATTTCTATGCTTTCCTGATTTTTGAATATAATCACCACAAGTATGACACAAATAGTGTTCATTGAGATATTTATACCATAATGTTTTAATTTGTCTATCACCACAATTCAAACATTCTCGCTCCTTTTTTACATTAATTACACCTATAAAATTAAAATAAAACATTTGTACGAGCTGTTTTCAGCTTGATATGGCAGCTGAGATATCCTTGTTAGTGTTTCAATGGAGCCGAAATTTTGACCGAACCAAAACCGAAAAAGGATCCAATTTTAGTTCCGGTTCCCGGAACTTTTCTAAGTTCCGGCCCGGAACCGGAATCGGAATTAAAAAAATTCTTCTAGCAAATTTAAAAAATTTGTATTTTAAGTAGAGTTCCCTGTTCACTTAATTCATCAATTAACTAAAACAGGACCGACTAATCGAACTGCAACTTTTGGTTAATCGAACTGAAATGTTGTCGACGATAAGTGATATATTTGGATTAAAGAGTGGTGTATAAATATATTTGTCGGATATAAGTTTTGATATTAAGCGATAAATAGGTTCCGGATTGTAAGGGAGATTTAAGGGATATCAGTGGAAATATACTTTTTGGGTATAAAGAAGGATAGGAGGATATTAGGATTCATAGATATCGAATCCCATATCTACCTACTTAATTCTCCGATATCACACCCAAATCTCTCGAAATCAGATGATATAACTAAAATCCAAATTAATCCATCCAAATTCTCCGATATACCATTCAACTTTATTTTTAGGCGCCGCAGGCGAAAATGTCGAGAATTTTTGAAGAACAAGAAGCCCGATTTTTTCCTTTTTTTGCGCCGCAGGCGGAATTTTTGTAAAATTAGTAAGGCCGTAAGCAATAAATTCATCGTTTATTAATGAAACTAAAAATATTAGAATTTTAGAGGGCAAAAAATCATAATTAATCGATTTAAAAATAGAATAATAACTTATAAAATAAGATATTATGGAAAAAAATATGATTCGGAATCCTTGATCCGGAACTTCCGGTTAAACACATCCTAATCCTGTCAAATAACATAAAATTTTTATTTACATATTTTATCTCTAATGTCAATTATTGTGCTTTTTAATTCTTTCGGATATTCTAATTTCTGTTTTTCTAACAATTCAATTTTATATCCAATTAAATTAATTTCCGTCCAATAACTTGACATAAGTTTGTCTTTGTAATTTTCTATATTTTCTTCAGTTAAGCTTAAATTATTTTCATTCTTGTATAATATTGAAGCTTCATAACGATTGTTATTTTCAATAAAATTTTTATTTCGGAGTACCTCAAATTTAAAACAAATTAGTCCATAAAGCACTATGCAATGGAAATTCTATTCATAAAAATATACCATTTTTTCAAACTCAGGCAGAAAATTTGAATTATTTCGTTATTTCTAATTTCAATCAAAATTTTCTTTTTTAATTGATCAGATGGAATATATATAAATCTATCACTTATGCTAACTATAAAAATATTTTTATCTAGATTTAAGTCAATTGAACGCAAATATCCTTTTATATTTTTATAAAAGCAGTCATGTTGATTATTAGTCTTTTCAATTACTTTTACCACAAAACGATGGCGCGCTTTGGTTTCGGCCCACCCTGGGTTCGTCCCACTGAACAAAATCTTTGGTTTCGTCCCACTGTACAAAAACCCTGGGTTCGTCCCCCTTGGTTTCGTCCCATCTCAAAATGTCCAGCAGAGTAAAAATACTCACTTTGTCGAACTAAAAATTAAAAATGGAGAATCTTAATAAAAACATGAGCAATCTTTTTTAAAAAATCAAAACCTTAGTAAAAGCCTATGAAGAATCAAAATCACAAAGTAAAAAGTAAAATTTTTATCGAATTCCTGCATGCCAAAGGCACAATTCTTTGCTTTTTGTCTGACCAATCTCAAAATGAATAAGTTGTGATTCAGAATCGGAATCAGCATTATCAGACTCGCTGCTTACGTTGACTTGATTTTCGTTGTTTTCCAAATTGCCTTGATGCGAGGACGAAGTCTGATTAATCGAAGAATCTTCTAAACGCTGCCGTTTCTTAACCCGTGCTAATTTTTCAAGCCGGCTTCTAATCATTTTAAATGCAGAAAATAATCTAAAAATGAAAAAAAATAAAAGACAATAGCGATAAAGAATATCCGCTAGTCAAATCCTAAGTTTACTAGAGCATTTTACCAATTATTAACATAGTGGGACGAATCCAAAGTTTTTGCCCAAGGGGACGAAACCAAGTGAGACGAACCCAAGGTTTTTGTACAGTGGGACGAAACCAAAGTTTTTGTTCAGGGGGACGAAACCAAGTGGGCCGAAACCAAGGGGGACGAACCCAGGGTGGGACGAAACCAAGCGCAGCCCAAAACGATCCTTTATTTCAACATTTTTTAAATATATAAATTCTCTTTTTTCTTTCCAATCATCACTAATTTTCACTTCCACACTAATAATTCTCCCTGAACACCGAATTTTCAGAAGAATAAATAAATATATGAAAATTATATAATTAAATTTAATCATCTGAAATTCGAAAATTAAAGCTGCTTTTTTGTTGCGGACTTGTAAATGAGGACCGTACTAACGGTCCGTCAGTTAGGGACCCGAATGAATTTAAAAAAAAATAATGTAAAAGACTTCTTTATTTAAAAGACCATATCCTACAAATTTTTTACATCTGATTTGGCATCTGATCTGGTTATGAAAAAATCAGGACCCAACGAAAAGCCGTGAGTTACAAAGGTCGGGAGATCAAGATCAGGATAGACTTAAAGGGCGGTCATTTTAGGATATACTCTTGAAAAAAATTTAAAATAGAAGTTTTATCCAACGTTATACGTATTATATGAGACATAAACATAAATATTTCTTATTTTTTAAAGTTTTATTAAATGCTAAGTGTATAGAATAAAAAACAACGAGTACAGGCAAATTTTACTGATAGACGTTATTAATTGTAGATTTTGTAATTTTATTAAGCGGGAAAATAAACAAAATAGCACAACTTTTGAAATTTTTGTTGACCAAAAAATTACAAAGTACATATGATTAAATTCAAAAGAATCTGATCTTTGAATGTATTTGTACTTTTATGTACAATTTTATGTACGAATTTTTACCCTTGTCACATGTCAAATTCACTTAATGTTTGCGTTATTCTAAAAGAATAGTGTAAAGCATATAGCTATTCAATTCATAAATTATTGCAGGAGGCGGTTGATGATGTAACACATCATTCTGGTGAACATAAGAAATACAGCGTGTTTCAACTAAGAAATACTATTTGAAAACTCAAAAATTTTTTACTAAGTCGACAGATTTTATAGATATTTTGTATTTTATATCTATATTTTATAGCATTTTTTTGACATAAAAATTATGTCAAAATTCGAACCCTAACCCGAGATAATTTCGTACTCTACCGTTCTGTTTTTCCCTTTTTCCGCACATGCATTCTTACTTCCCTTTATTTGTTATAAGGGGAGACAGACACTAGAGTAAACACTAGGCGATAGACACTACATTTTCAATACAGTATCCACTCTTCGCCATACAGGAAAATAAATGAAGTAAGATAGCACACAATGAAAAGAGGGAAAAAAGAGAACGGTAGAGTACGAAATTGAAATACAGGGTTAGAGTTCGAATTTCGACAAAATTTTTATGTCAAAAGAAATGCTAAAAAATATAGATATAAAATACCAAATTTCATAAAAATCTGTACATGCAGTAAAAAGTTATAGATTTTTAAAATAGTATTTCTTAGTTGAAACACCCTGTATTAGCTAAAGGGGAAAAAGTTAGCCAATTTGATCTAACTTATATTTAAAGTAGTTGAACTATTTAAAAATTATTTCTATTCTTTTATTAAATGTCTAACATAGGGTATACATATTCAAATGTTATTAGAATAGACAATTCTTCTTTCATTGCTTTAAATATTATTTATATTCATTATTTTAATTTAAATTGAGGTCTTATAAATTATGTCGGGATTCCGATCCTCTCAAGGTTAAAGAACATAGGAATTGCCAAATAACTACTTTCTCTCTCTATTCTAAAAATGTCAATACGTACGTGTTAAAAGTGCATATGCATCATATGTGAACATAGGTAGAGGAAATGTCGCATTCATAAGGGCGGAGAGTTAAGTATACTCGTAATTTTCACTCTCCATTTTACAAAACTCCTCCCCTTCATTGCTCCATTTAAAAGTCAGTCAGGACTGCCTTCAATTATTTAAAAAATTTTTAAACAACTTTAAGTAGTTTTTCTAATTGCTTGCCGTTGAGTTTTAGTTAATTAAGTTCTGGACATGTTTAAAGTATAATTAATTTATCCTCCCTTTATAAAAGAGTTTAACTCCTTATTGTTTAACTCCTTAAAAGAGTTTAACTCCTTATTTATAAAAGAGTTTAAACTCCTTATTGTAGAGTTTAAACTTGAGGCCACAAATGTTGAGGCCGAAAATGTAAGGCCGCAATATTTTATACAACTGTTATACAACTGAGGTAAGAAATGCCACATTACTAAAAGAAAACGTCTTTCATTTATTAATTAATTTTTGAGAGGCATTCAAATCAATTGTACATATAATTATTTACAATTTATTAAGAAACGTTTTTTTTAATTTCTGTTGACTGAAGAATGAAATTAACAATGATTTCAACAATTTTGTTTTTAATTGTTGTTTTGATTGTCTTAATTGAGTGTGTAAAAAATGAGGGTAGAAGAGGAACTGGGAGAGGTCGCGGAAGAGCTGTTAGAGGACCCGGTCGTGCACATGAAGTCCAACCAATTATTCAAACTTCAAGTTTTGGTACTAATTTACAATTAAAAAATTTTTATTTTTACAGTAATTAAATATTCTTTATAGTACCGCCATCTATTTTGGAATCATCCATCATACGAGAAGTAATTGTTCATGGCCAGTCAGTGGAGGGACCGAATATTTCAGGACCAACTGCAGAAGGATCGAATGTTGGTAGTGGAAGAGGAGTTCACGGCGGTGATGACACTTCTGGAAGCATTTCCCAAGGACCAAACGAAGAGGGAACTAGTGGACAAGGACAAGGTCATTATTATATTTTATTGAAAACAAAACACATTTCGTTGGATTCAACTCAACAAGCTGAGTTATAATTTATAGCTTTATTTCGGGAAAAAATTACCAAAATTGCTTAAAAATTTTGTTGGAAATAATCTGTTTCATTTTACTTAGCTATTGTTTACTATCTCTCCTGATTTTTAAAAACTATTTTCAAACGGTGTAAAAATTATGAAGGATAAAACATTGGTAACTCTTTCGAGAGATCTTTGCTTTGAGACTTTTATTATTTAATTTCAAACGCTATGTTTATTACTAATTTTTGTTTTTAGTTCGTCGTCGAGTTCCTTCTCCAAAACCTAAAAGTTTCAAGTTTCCGGGGCATTCTCACGCTCCATATAATTTTAAAAATAGAAATGAATTTCTGAATTCTACACGCCATATGCAGTATTCAGGTATTTAAATATAAATTAATAATATAGTTTCAGTTACACGTTATTTATAGACTGTATTAGTTTAATACACCTATGTAGGATATATTTTTTTATTAATATTTTTTAAGTCGGTAAACATTTTCTGTCCATTTATACGTGATATTTTTAATGAAATTCTGGATTCCTAGCTAGTTTAAAATTAATAAAAAAAACCCAGCTTCTGGCCAGAAAGACTCGTCTGGACATGAACTGGAAATTAATATTAATAAATTAAGCACCAATTATTATTCAAGAATCTGATGGCGAAGAAAGCGAGGATACTGAATTAGAAGGAATATCAGATCCTGAATTGGATGTGTAAACGAACAAAAAGAGTATTTTAAATTTGATGCAAAACAATCATGAGTATTTGTTAGGAATATCAAATCATTTTATTAGTCAACTGATATTCAATTATACAATCAAAAAGTAGCAAATCACAGTTATAGATGAATAGCACAATTTAAATTGTTTTCTGTGATTAAAACATTATTCAACGGATAAAATTTTTTATTTTATTGTTGGACTTTATATTTAAAGGACTCGTTTGTCACTACTTTTAAAGAATTGTCATTGCTCTTAATAACTTAGTAAAAATACCGTTGATGATATAGATTTCATAAGATTAGGTGATAGGCCTAAGGCAGAAACTGGTTACCGCCATGGTTTCTCTCTCGTATGATCTATGACCATCAGTGACCCATAAGTTTGCCATTTTCCTTGTCATTATAAGTCAATGTCGTTTGGAGAAATAGGCCCTAGAATGTAACCAGGCACTTTTCATTGCATCTTAACTTTTTTCCAATAATTTTTTGAAATTTTTCTCTTATCTTGTAGCACAAACAATATTCTTTCATGTCATAAAAGCCAGATTCTATTATTGAACATTTTTCAAAAAAATACAACTCCTACCAATTTTCAATGAAATGAGGTATACCCATATAAATGTTATTTTAGCGGAGTAAAAAACACCAACATATGTTTTTGAAAATTTCAAATAAAAATTTCATAATAATTTAAAAAATCAATTGACATTCTAATTATAAACATGTCCTTCATCACACGCTCATTTTTAAATTTTATTTCAAAATTTAGCCCTGTCAATATATGTCCTTTTTGGATACATACGACAAAAAAGAATTGTCAGAAGCAATTCGTAACATTTTGTCAATAACATATTTGGTCACTAAGGGAAATTTATTTTTTTTTGACGATTATATGTATTTATTTGTTTTAATTTTCCGTGTAAATTTTAATTTTCTTTCTAATACATGAACTAGTACTGAACCTAGTTCATAAGAACCTAGTTCATTTACTTTTATGAACCTAGTTCATTTACTTTTATCTTTTATTTTTTGCTTTTATATAAATTTTTCGATAAATTTTGATAATTTCTTGCTTTTCATAGTTTTAAAATTTGTTCAAGAAACTCAGAAAATTAAAGTTAGAAAATCATTTTCATTTAAATACTATTTATTCGTTTCCTTTTCTGTTTGATATTTATTTGTTTTCTTCTTAACTCTTTGTTGTTTTATGTAACAGGTATGACATATATATTGTTCAGGTTTTGAATGACGGTACCATTTTGATGTTTTTGTTGCTCCGC